CGCCAGCCACAGACGGAATGCTTCGTAGGCTCTGCTACGCGCTTCCACGTTTACAACCCACACGTGGCGCGTTCCGGCGTCGACGAAGGTGAGTGTGTAGAGTTCGTCGTTGATGCCACAATATCCTACGTTCAGAAAGCCACTGTAAACCTTCTCAAGCTTGGCGTAGCGATTGGTTCCTGGCTAGAGTAGGGGGAAAGGCTGGTGACTCAGCGCAGCTTCGGGGCAGACAGTGCAGCTGCGCGGGTGAGTCCCTCCTCTCACTTCGGAGCCGTCAGGGCGCAACAGCGCGCCAGGTGCAAAGATGCCGGCTTCGATGCAGTTCTTCAGGGTCATGCGCGAAGGGTGACCTAGGCGCTGATGCCAGATGGCGTCGTCGGCGCGGAATCCTGATGTGCGCATGTAGCGCTCCAGTGCGGCTGCGGGGTCTTCGTTAGGTGCCGGTGCAGGTGTAGGCGCTGCTCCCTTGTTCTCTTCTTCTTCCTCGTTCGGCGTCGTTAGCATGAGGGCGAGAAATTCTCTGTCGCGGATGATGGAGTAGGGGATGTTGGTTCCGGGGATCGTGCCAAGTACGAACGCCGATTCGCGTGGTTCAGGGGCAGGTCCGTAGACAGTGCGTCGCGGGGTGAGTGGTTCACTTCCCCAGTCAATGGTGTCCCAGGGGTCACTACCTGAAGGGATGTCAGGCGGCGGTGGTCCTAACGCTGGGCGGCGCGGAGGCCGTCCGAGAGGAACAAAAGGAGGTTCGACCTCAACATGTACAGGTTCTTCTTCCTCTTCCCCCCTTTGATCCCCGCGGAAAGCTCCCTAGCCGCTCGTCACGCCGCCTTGTGCGGCGCCCCATCCGCCGATGTATGCGCCTGTTGCTGCACCCCATCCGCTGGTGTCGCTCGTTCCCCATCCGCCGGTGCTCCCCCACCCCCTTTCATTGGAGGCGCTTTCCTCGTCCTGCTCCCAGGCGAGCGTTCCGCGTGCCTCGGCGAGGCTCTTCCGCCGAAGCTCTTCGGCTTCTTGTTGCGCCAATGTCTCTTCTTCCGTGGGCGAGAGCCGTTTCTTGGAATCGCGCCGGTGAGAGTATATCTCTGCTGCCTTTCGTTCGGTGTAGGGCCGGGGATTCCCATGCGCGTCGAAGGTGCTGACGCCAACGCCGCGGAGCATTCCTTGAAGATACTGGGATGCGGGTCCAAGAAGAGAGTGTTCCGGTGTGCCGAATACGACCCGTGTAGCTGTTTCCAACTCCAGTTGGGAGAGACCCTCTTCAGGCGGTGCGTCTCGCTCTGTTTCACCTACCTACGGCCTTGCGGCCCCGTCGCCTACCTTCGGGCCCACGGCCTCGTCGCCTACCTGCGGCCCTACGGCCCCGTCGCCTACCTGCGGCCCCGGCCACGTCGCCTACCTGCGGCCCTACGGCTCTGTCGCCTACTTGCGGCCCGGCCCCGTCACCTACCTGCGGCCCCGGCCCGTCGCCGCCCTCGGTTGCGGCCCCGTCGCCGCCCTCACCTGCGGCCCTGTCGCCGCCCTCACCTGCGGCCCGTCGCCGCCCTCACTTGCGGCCCCGCCGCCCTCTGTTGCGGCCCCGTCGCCGCCCTCAGCTGCGGCCCGTCGCCGCTCTCACCTGCGGCCCGTCGCCGCCCTCAGTCGCGGCCCCGTCGCCGCCCTCACCTGCGGCCTCGCCGCCCACATTTGCGGCTCCGCCGCCCTCCGTTGCGGCCCTGTCGACTACCTTGCGGCCCCGGCCCCGTCTCCTATACCTGCGGCCCCGCCACCTGAGGCCCCGATGTCACCTGCGGCCCCGCCACCTGAGGCCCCGTCGCCACCTGCGGCCCCGCCCACCCTTGCGGCCCCGTCGCCCACTTCGGCCCCGCCCACTTGCGGTCCCGACCCCGCCCCGGCCATGCCTCGTCACCAGCTGCGGCACACCGGGGGCACGTGCACTGCCCCCCCCCCTTCTTCCCGTCACCTATCGCGGCTCCTTCGGGGGCCGCGCGACCTGAAAGGGGGGGGCAGGCGACGCCCCCTCTGCCGCCTACTTTGGCGCCCGGGGAGGCCGTGCGTCGCCCCCCCCCCCCCACCCCCCCCCCCCCTTTCTCCTCCTCCTTTTGTTCCCTCTACTGCAGCTGCCGCTGGGGGGGAGGGTGTGAGGGTGTGTGGGAGCCCGGGGAGGGACTAGGGGTGGCGGGTGTGGGGGTGATGGGTGATGTGTGATCTCCCCTTCCCATCCTCCTCCGTTTGCCCCCCTCTACTGCTCCTGCAGCAGTGTGGGGGGGAGGGGGAGGGGGAGGGTGAGGGGATGTAGGGGGTGACCAACCAGAGCCTACCACCTCTCTCTCCCTCTCTCTCTCCTCCTCCTTGCCTGCCCTCTCCCGTTCTGCTGCGCACTCTGCCTCGTGTACCCCATTATGGGGGCGTTGACTGCACATTCTTCCCTACAGGCACTTATGGGGGCGTGTCACAATAATATATAATTCTATATATTGTTTTGTAATTGCCTGTAGTGTAGACTACTGTAGTCATCTAACTTTCTGTTTGGTGGTGCACCTTTCTTCACTGTTGCCTATTTGTACTGCTCGCTCTATAGTGAAACACACTCATTTGTTGCAATCTTCTCGACTTTCCCAGACTCACTCGAACTCAACTACTCGACCTACTAGCTATGGCTCCTAAGCCTCTCTAGTACCTTAACAGGAGATGCCTCGATTGGGTCGGGCGCCGGCTGAGGTGAGAGTGAGCGTGCGCGTGGGCGACGAGAGCCGCTCGTCATGGTCATGTTCCCCATGACGTTGCGGACGGGGGCAGCTTGTAGCGGCTGCTGCTGCTACTGAGTTGTTGGATTCAGGTTGCGCGGTGGGGGTTGAGACCCTTGGGCGGGATGCGTGTCGTTTCTTACGTCTTGTCGGCCGGATCAAGTGCTCGGATTGGTCTAGCGAGGGCCAAGTGCCCGAAATTTCTGCAGATCTTGCAGTAGAGGCGCCGTGGTCGTCGCTCTTCCGTGTTGTCTGCGTAGAATGCGAGACTTTCTCTCTCTCGTCGTGGTGCTGGTCGCTGCTGGTCAATATTCCGTTGTTCGACGAGGAGGGCGGCGCAAAGGGCGGCCTCCGATATGACCCCCTGCTGTCGGAGAAGCGCCTTGCAGGGCCGCCACTCTGGGCCGAGCCCTTGGAGCATGATGTTCACGAAGATCTCCTCAGAGATCGAGCTCCCCAATTTCGCGATTTGATCGCGTAGACTCCGATAGCAATTCAGGTAACTGTTGGCTTTCTCTCCTGGTGCCATCCTTGTTTCCAGTAACTGCTGGAGGAGGCGGCTCGACGACACTGAGTCCTTGGGTTGGTATACGCCATTCAGGTGGCGCCGGACGCTGAGGGCTGGAGCAGGGGAGGTCTTGTATGAACGAATGCTCAATTGCTCCGTCGGCGACATGTTCCGTAGAAGAACCCCATACGCCATCAGGGACTCGTTGTAGTACTTGGTTTTTGCGTCGTCAGTATCTCCCGTAGGCCCCGAGTAGCTTCCGTCGAAATACTGATAAATCCGCGCGTTTTGTAGTAGCAGCTCCAGCTCAAAGCTCCAGGTATAGAAGTCTCTGCCGTCAAAGCACGCACTTGTCTTTATTTTTGATATGCTAAAAAACCTTGATTGCGCAGAGAGAATTGCTTCATCGCTGGGACAGGAAGTCTTGGGGGTTGAGCCGTTCGTATCGAAAGAGAAGCTTTGCGGGGCGGAGTTCTGGCCGTTTGAGGCCGGTTGAGTGGGTTGGGAAGAGGTTCCCGCATCGCCATTCCGCAATGTCTGGAGCCCTTGCTCCAGGCTCGTGAGTCGCTGAAGCAGTTGTGCGAGGATGGCGGAAGGAATCGTCGTCGTTTCCTCGTTTGTCGCAGCCGGGTTGGGCTGCGCTTCAGCCGTCAGATTCGTCTGACCTCCAGATCCTTCGGCCATTCTTACACGTGATCGTGTCCCGGACGCCACTTTCCGAATGTCGCAGATTTCGGAGACGGCGGTGCGAAGGATTCCTGAGTCGCTCTCATGGTACCATGTTAAAAACAGCAAGTGATCGTAACCAGGATCACCTCAGGAAGGTTCGCACAATTCTGGTCTAGTGGTGGTGGGCCCTTGACCTCAATAGCATAGTGAATCTAAATGCTTGACATAATAAAAACGTGCAGTACAAGGAATGTAAATATGAGTACAGGGGAATTTGAAACGACCTAACTAGCCATGTACTCTAAGGGGTACATTCCCTTATTGCAGCTAAATCCAACCGTTCGACTCCGAGTGGTTATGTAACTATTCGAGCAGAATCCTCGCCACTGCTGCTGCCTGATGCTGTGTGCTCGACGGTCCAGATGCTCCTCGTAACCGTCTGTCTCTTCGCCTTTCTTATGCCTTTTCGTCTTCACTCTCGATAGTGCGTGCTTCGGCTTTGCTACGGTGAGGAGTGCGCAACAGTGTTTTTCATTAGCCACCGTTCGTAACAACACATACACACACACACGCACGCACATGCACACACACACACACATACACACACACACTCGCACTCACTCATACACACACTCACTCATACACACACTCATGCACACACGAAACACATAAAAATACTGGCAACTTGTTTACGGTAACTGGGATTGGGAGTTGTTGAGCATTGATATAAAATTACACGTGTGAAGTCAAGTTCGTTATGCAGAACACAAACAAAGGCGCAATGAAAGCTCACACATAATTGTTGCACTCCAGTGTCATACGGTAATATTTATTTTTTCTTCCTAACCCTCCTGAACGCCCCCGGGTGTTTACATATATGGGAATAAGGTAGCCAGCACAAGACGCTCATGTTCTGGGTCTGGGGACACTATGGATAACGTTGATAGGACATGCCGTAGACTACCAGGTACAAGCACGTTCATGCCTAGGGCTACTTTGATTGGAGCTCATCCGTGAACAAATAGCAATAGGGGCAATGAGGCACACTGTTGCGTGCGAGGGCCGTGGCAGGGCAGGCGTCAAGAGCGGGCGAGGTGAATGAGTGGGATGTGCGAGATGGCGTGGCGGCGCAGCGACCACGGGCTCACTCCTGCCTTGTGTGCCGCCATCACCCCCAGCGCCTCCCAGTAGTTGCCCACCACCACCTGCCATCCACATGGCCCGGGGGGAAAGTAGCACGCACACCCCAGGAAGCAACAGCAGAGAGGGAAAAAAAGAGAGAGAGGAGGGGGAGCGAGGGAGGGAGAGAGAGAGGGGAGAGAGAGGGAGGAAGGGATCGAGGGAGGGAGGGAGGGAGAGAGAGAGAGAGAGAGAGAGAGAGAGAGAGAGAGAGAGAGAGAGAGAGAGAGAGAGAGGGAGAGAGAGAGAGAGAGAGAGAGAGAGAGAGAGAGAGAGAGAGAGAGAGAGAGAGAGAGAGATGGAGAGCAACAGATGGAGTGAGGATTGCTGATGTGCCCTAATGCCCGAATGCCGTGAAGCTTGAGCATGGAAGGCGATGGCATGCGAAACTCACAGCAGGGATGGCAAACTTGGAGGGCGGGTCGTCCATGACGGTAGTGTTCTCCTCCACCGCTATGAACAGCGGCTGCCATGCACCAAGGGGCGCCCACAGGCACGTGGAGGGATGGGCAAAGAGGGGCGCAGGGAATGCAGGTACAACGATGAGAATTGAGGTAGATACAGCAGAGCAAGTGCAGCTGTTGCTGTGAGCCCAGAGCATTGACAGCAGCACAGCATGGCAGGGTGCAGCACTGACCGGGCCGCCTGGTCGATGAGCGAGGGCCTGGGCGGCAGGGCCCCCGAAGGCATCGACGGGCAGCACCACACAGTCCACGTCCTCCGCCCACACCACCCCTCCACCTCCCCCGCTGCTGCTCATGCTCATGCTCATGCTCATGCTCATGCTCGTGCCGCTGCTGCTGCTGCCAGCATCTCCGCTGTAGTCCCATGCGCCCCCAATGATGGTGGGAATGCTGCTCGCATTCGCTGCCCCCTCCTGCCCCTCTTGCCCCTCGCCTGCCCCCATGCGCTCAGCTGCGGTGCCGGGAGGGGCGTGGCGGGTGACGAAGCGAGGCGCGCGCGAGAGGCCAGCCAGCACACATGGCAGGAACGTGTGACCAATCTGAGGGGCACGTGTGCGTGGGGGAGGGGAGGACGAGGCAGCATCAGGTGGGGCCGGAAGCAAGTGACCTGCAGTGGGCAGTGAGCAGCACGGGTCAGCGCTCACCTCTTCAGCGGCAGAGCGCGGGGCGATGGAGGGGAGGAGGGGCAGGGGGGCGAGGGCGGGGGCGTGGGCGGCAGGGAGTTGGAAGCGGCGGACAACGAGGTGGGAGATGACGGCCTCCACGCCCGCCAGCACGTCCACGCCGCTCCCCTCGCGGTACTGCTGCAGCACCTCCTCTGCATCGTCAGGGAAGCGCGCCACCACGCCCACCGCGTCCACCCCACGGCCACCTGTAGCAGGGGCTGCTGCGGGTGAGAGGGCGTGCGCGTGGGAGGGCGGGTGTGCGGCGAGGGGCGCATCCAGCAGCGTCTGCACAGCGCGCAGCAGGGAGTCCGCCTCGTCGATGCGCCCCGTGGCTGCTCCTGTGGCGCCGTCCACCCACTTGTGCACCTGCTGCCCGCCCCCCACACACGCCCACGGGGACATGGGCTTGCTGAGACGCACGCAGGCACACGCATGCTGTGAGAGAGGCAGGAAGTGCGAGAATGAGTGACGGGCATGTGAAGGAGCAGACGGGCGCAGGTCACCTTGAGGGGGCGGTCGGTGACGGTGTACCTTGAGGGGGCGGTCGGTGACGGTGTACCTTGAGGGGGCGGTCGGTGACGGTGTACCTTGAGGGGGCGGTCGGTGACGGTGTACCTTGAGGGGGCGGTCGGTGACGGTGTACCTTGAGGGGGCGGTCGGTGACGGTGTACCTTGAGGGGGCGGTCGGTGACGGTGTACCTTGAGGGGGCGGTCGGTGACGGTGTACCTTGAGGGAGCGGTCGGTGACGGTGTACCTTGAGGGGGCGGTCGGTGACGGTGTACCTTGAGGGGGCGGTCGGTGACGGTGTACCTTGAGGGGGCGGTCGGTGACGGTGTACCTTGAGGGGGCGGTCGGTGACGGTGTACCTTGAGGGGGCGGTCGGTGACGGTGTACCTTGAGGGGGCGGTCGGTGACGGTGTACCTTGAGGGGGCGGTCGGTGACGGTGTGCCTTGAGGGGGCGGTCGGTGACGGTGTACCTTGAGGGGGCGGTCGGTGACGGTGTGCCTTGAGGGGGCGGTCGGTGACGGTGTGCCTTGAGGGGGCGGTCGGTGACGGTGTACCTTGAGGGGGCGGTCGGTGACGGTGTACCTTGAGGGGGCGGTCGGTGACGGTGTACCTTGAGGGGGCGGTCGGTGACGGTGTACCTTGAGGGGGCGGTCGGTGACGGTGTGCCTTGAGGGGGCGGTCGGTGACGGTGTGCCTTGAGGGGGCGGTCGGTGACGGTGTACCTTGAGGGGGCGGTCGGTGACGGTGTACCTTGAGGGGGCGGTCGGTGACGGTGTACCTTGAGGGGGCGGTCGGTGACGGTGTACCTTGAGGGGGCGGTCGGTGACGGTGTACCCCACTATGTCAATCCCCAGTGTTGCCCTCGCTGCGTCCGCCACCTGCAGGGGCGGGGGGAGTGCGGGGCGAGGGGGGTGTGTTGCGGGGAGCATGGTGAGGGCACATGAAGGCAAAAGCAACCGGGGGTAAGGGCAAGGCGGAGCGGGGCAGCAGCGAGGCAGCTGACGAAGAGATCAGAGAGCCACACAGGGGCAATGTCGCAGGAGCCACTGCATGCAGCACCATCCCATCCCATCCCAGTGCCATGGCGGCGGCATGGCGGCGGCACCTGCAGGTGGCGCTGGAGGAGGTCGTCCTCGATGGCGCGGTCGAACACCAGCCCCACGCGGTTGCTGTGCACGGGCTGCAGCCCCCACTCCCCGCGCGCGAAGCGGTCGAGCGCGTGGCCCTCGACGTAGAGCGCGCGCGGCAGCGGCCAGTAGAGCATGGCGCCGTTGAGCACGTTGGGGTGCGCGATCAGACACTCCGCCACGCTGCTGAACGCGCGCGCCACCGGCAGCGCGTCCCCCGCGAAACCCCCGATCTCCGCGCCCACGCCCGTGGGCACTATCAGCACCGCCACGTAGGGGCGCTGCGCGGGGGAAGACTGCGCGGAAACAGGGGGGTTAAGCCGGGGACGGGGCAGAGGTGAGTGGAAAGATAAGACGGGCTGCGAGGGCTAGTGGATGCGAGGGGCGCTGCATCTCACCACGCTGCATCTCACCACGCTGCATCTCACCACGCTGCATCTCACCACGCTGCATCTCACTACGCTGCATCTCACCACGCTGCATCGTGGTCCGTACTGTTGGCGTAATTGCGGCTCATTCGTGTCACGTGGTACCGCCAGCGCCCTGCTCCGCCACTCCCCATCCCCTCGTAATCCCTCCAAACCGCCCATGCGGGCGATCTGCGGAGACAGAGGCGGCGCATTGTGGGAGCGCGAGTGCGCGAAGGAGCAGCTTGCTCGACGCGCGAGTGTACTTTCGGCGGGGCCATTTTTGTCGCTGGCGGAAAGGGAAGGTGGGCAGTGCGCGTTACAGGCGGGAGGCACTGCGAGAGGGTTCATGACGTGCGAGTGTGGCTGGATGGATAGTGTCGCCGCGCTTTCAGGGCAAGTGGGCCGCTGGCAACACTGATGCTACGCAGCTATATGTCTGTCGTCAACACTCAAAATTGCTCATTTATGAATTCATGCCCCCCCTCGAATTTCCTCCCAAAAAGTGCAAGAGGGTCGGGGTTTAGGAACTCGTTTTACGCCTCTTCGAAATTAGGTAAGTAGCATGTGTGCCAAACTTCATTTCCGTAAAACTGAAACCACTCAAGTAGAACCAGGCTCCCCTCGATAGTGACGACAGCCCGTGCGATTGAGTCAACCCCTGCGACTGTGCTCTCCGATTCAGCCACACCTTCTCGAACCTCGATTTTCCGAGCCGTTGGCCCACAATGATGATCCCAAGGTTGGTGGCCGTGCTTCTCCCTAGAATTCGTCCCGCACAATTCATGGTGGACACTGCGTCCACTTTTGACCCATTCGAGTTTCTGCTCACTGACCATTTCAATCAAGAATAATTAAGATAATGTATGCTGCGGAGGTAGAATCGTTGGCGTAAATTAGGCGTGAATTAGGATCGTCGCTTGGCTCTCGATCACGAGTTAACCACCATGTTTTGGGATTGTCGCACGGTTGCGAACTCTCAAGCGCATTTCAATTGAGCACGAGGAGTGGAGGCGCGGTGGGGGTGGACAGGAACAAGAGGCAGGCAAGGACAGGAGTAGGCCGCGACGAGCTGCTTGCATGTGTGCGCTGGTGTGGTCGCGCTGGCGTGCACACCGTATCGGAGACACTTGTAACGAGGCATCGTCCAGAAGGGACCATCAAAGGCCGCCATGAACTACACCGGCATCCTCGCCGCGCTTTTCTACGGTAGGCATCAGGTCACCTCCAAGGTCTCGTCAGGGGTGCGTCAAGCAGTACGATACGGGATCTTCGGTCCGTTAAGTAAAAATCACTCATTGCTGCTCCACGTGCCCCCATCGCCTTTCGTGAATCACACTTTGTAGTTTCCTGGTCGCAATTTTGTGTAGCGAGCACGGGATTCCAGTCATTCTCGCAACCATCATTGTCGTAATCCACCCAGTGATGTGTTTTACTCCAACACTTCCCACCACCCCCTCCGCGTTTCCCCTCCTCCTCCCCCCGGGTGGGGCACGGCAGGGGTGATGTCGGTGGCGTCGGTGTTCATAAACAAGGCGCTGTTCCACGTGTACCGCTTCAAGTTCCCCTACACGCTCGTCTTCTTCCAGACGCTCTTCACTCTCGCGCTGCTCGCCGCCATGCGCCAGCTGCGCCTCATCCGCGTCACGCCCTTCCACCTGCACGTCCTCCGCCGCGTAAGTGTGTGCGGGAATGAGGACTTCTGGTGACTGGTCAGGGCCTACGAGTGAGTGTGTGGGGGAATGAGTGGTGTGTGAGCAGCAACTGGTGTGGCAACTGGCACGCCAGCCCTTTCCTTGTCTCCTCCCATTCCGTCTCCTCTTCGCCCATAGTCGCATCAGCCCCACCAACGTCCCTCTGTCCCTCTGTCTTGGCGTCCTCCCTCCCTCCATCCATGCCGCCAGGTATCGCTGCTGTCATTTGCCTTCCTGCTGAAGCTCCTCTTGGACATGGCGGCTCTCTCCCGAGTGAACATCCCCATGTACGGCGTCCTCAAGTCCGCCACCACGCCCTTCGTGCTGCTCCTCGACTTCCTCCTGCGCGCCAAGCGTGCCTCACCGCGCATACAGCTGGCCGTCTACACCACCGCGCTGGGGGGCGTGGTGGCGGGCACGGGCGACCTCACGTTCGACCTGCCGGGGTATGTGCTGGCGCTGTCGTCTGCGCTGGCGACGGCAGCATACGTGGTGATAGTGGGGAAGCTGGGCGAGGAGCTGCAGCTGGACTCGTTCACGCTGCTGCTGTACAACAACTGTTGGTCGCTGCCCTTCGCCTTCCTCCTCGTCGCTGCCAACGGCGAGCTGCCTGCTGTGCAGCGAGTGCTGCAGTCACGGGATGCTGTGTTCCTTGTGTGCTTCGCGCTGTCCTGCGCCTCTGCTTTCATACTCAACCTCGCCACCTACCTCTGCACACTCGTTAACGACAGCCTCACTACCAGCATTGTTGGTGGGTCCTCCTCCGATTACCTTCTCTCCCCCACACTGCCAATCTATGCCTTCCCCAGCCTTACCACTCCTCTCGGTCTGTTGTGCAGAGCTCTTCCCGCTCGCTTGCTTTCCTGGTTCCATTCGTCCATCTCTGTGTCCCCCCCCCCCCTCTTCCCCACAGGCCGCACCAAGTCCATTTTGCAGGGCTTCGGAGGGCTCTTTGCATTCGGGGATGTGCTGGTCAGTTGCTCTCACTCTCCCCAATACTCTCCGTTTTTACTGAACAGCTTCTGCTGTGTCTGCCTAGAACAGTTATTAAAACCCGCGGGCCAAGAAGTTCAACCTTAGGAAGGTTGGTTGGGGCGAGCAATGCAATTGGCCAAGATTTTGGGTGCCAGGTTCACAGTCAACCGTGGTTAGGAAGCTTGAACCAATTTGGGCTTTCTTGGCCCTCGGGTTTTAATCTGCTTTCATTGTGCTGCTACTTGAGTGCAGGTTAGCCCCACCAATCTCATAGGCCTGATAGTGAACTCAGGAGGAGTGGGGTGGTACGCGTATGAGAAGTACGTGGAGGCGAGGGCCAAACAGAAGGGAGCGTACACACTGTTGGCGGAGCACCACCATCACGATGCCGACAGCAGAACAACCATTGCCAGAGATGGCTCACAGGTGGGTTGGCGCATGTAGCCATAGGGTTCATTTGTGGAGCGAATGGGTGTATGGATGGGGAGTTTGGGTTTGTACTGATGTGTGGTTGGCGTTTGTGTCCAGTCGTTCGTACAGGAGTATCTGTTGCACGTGTGTTCATGCTCCTTCACTGTGCACACATGGTGCACATGTTGCTTGTAACTGAACAAATCGTACAAATATTCCGTAAACTCTTTGTGTGGATGTGTGCATGGGTTCTCTGTGCGTGCGTGTGGGGGGGAGGGGGGGAGAGGGCGTGTAAGCGGCGTGGGTGTGTGTGGTTGTGTGCATGCGATATTTCTGTGGCGGTCATTGCTTAATGCATACCCACTGTGGTTTTGTACTTACAGGTGACCATTGTTTTTGATGACCATAAAAAGGAAGACTTACCTGAGACACTGAATGGCAGTACTAGATCTCAAGATTCTTAACGTTGCTAGGCCACGTTTTGGAGATCATGGCCTGGGAGTGGGCACAATATTGATTCGCGGGAAATTGCACTCTGGATGAAAATGTAAGGTGGTTCAACATGTATGAATATTCTTAAAAGTTGTAACGCTTTTCAAAATTTTGTATTTTGAAAGCGAAGCGGCTTGTAACGTGGCAATGGTCATCGGCGAACCGCGCTAAACGCCCGTTTTGGAGTACAAAACGTTGGCTGGAGGTCATTTCCCTCCAACCACGTCTTTCATTTTCAAACGGCTTAGCCTAGTTTCCGAGTTCCCAATTCCAAGTTGGCGAAATTGAAGTCACTACCTCGTTTCCAGTCTCCGTCCACACTCCTTTCGGACATTTTCGCTCATAACGCGGCTACTATGGCACTGAACGGCGAGAACGGTGACAACGCCAACGCTTCAATTCGTCCCGACGACGGAAATATTACCCGCGAACCCGCGGGCGAACGCCGGAACAAGCGTCGGGCAGACGACGAGGAGTCGACCCCGACCGCCGTCGACATTCTGCTGTCCGACGTCGCTGGGGCACGCGCCCCTGGTGTGCCTCGAGCGCAAGTGGCCTCTGAGGGGCCTGAGGCGCCGGCAGTCAACGAGGGCGCCAAGTCAACGCCGGCCAGCGCGACCGGCACCCCCCGTCAGCGTCAGCGCCGCAGGCAGGCACACGCGCCTGACGCGAGGCCTTAGGCGCACGTGGGCCCTGACGCGCCTCAAGCCCCTGACGCGCCCTAGGCCCCTGACGCGCCTGTGGCCTCGCCTGTCTTCACATCGGCCCAACTGCAGCAGTTGTTGTCCCTGTTACAGCAGCAAGCTGTCAGAATCCCAACCACTAGACCATTGGGATAAAAGGGCTTGTTAAGTAGCGGGTCAGTGCGCCCATAACCCCCCAGACCAACATGCCTGTAACCCTTCCCTAGGATCAATCGGGGATCACCAGTGGACCTCTGACACCCCCCAGCACTGGGATGCCCGAAGTGCACACACTGGGATTCGAACCCGAGACCTTTGCTCTGATACCATGTCAGAATCCCAACCACTAGACCATTGGGATAAAAGGGCTTGTTAAGTAGCGGGTCAGTGCGCCCATAACCCCCCAGACCAACATGCCTGTAACCCTTCCCTATGATCAATCGGGGATCACCAGTGGACCTCTGACACAAGCTCCCGCCGTTACGGAAACCAACGCTACACTAAACGAAACGTCAATTTCTGCTAAAAGCGCGAAGGAAAAAAGGGAGACGGTGAAACGCGCTCGCACGGCAAAAATCGCACGCGCCGAGGGCACCACCGCCAAAGCTACCCCGGCCCCAGAAAATCCTGCCGACAGCGACACTTCCGACGACGAAGCTGGTGAGGCACCTGCCGATAATGCATTTTTTTCAACCACCGAGCACCTCCCCCCCCTCCCTACCTCCAACTCTAACCTCACCGCATCTTCCTTCAAGAACGCTGTTGTTCGTGAACAAGCCGAGCTCCTTGAGGACCTGCGCGCCTACCTGATGCATGCGGAACAGAAAGTGCGGCTCAACGAACCAGCAAGCGCCATCGAACTCCTCGAGGAGGCGCTCTCGCTCGTCAATAATCGTTTCAAGCTTCTCCACGTCGCCGATTACACGAA